AGGGACAGTACACACTAGAGAGGAGCACTGATGTGAGACAGAAACATTGATTGGCTGCCTCTCCGTATGTGCCCGACAGGAGATTGAATCCACAACCTGGGCATGTGGCCTCACTGGGTATCGAACTGGCAACCCTTCATGCAGAGACGATGTTCAGCTAGCTGGCACCCTGGCAGGCATGACCAGGTGGTTTTTCATCTACATTTAGATACTTCTGCAAGTTAAAGGGGGTGCTAGTCATAATTATGCTGTGATAACAGGTGTAAACCATGATTATCATGGGTAAACAGGTATATAAAATTACCTACTTATAATCCCATCACCCAAAGGCTCTATCATTATTTTTGTATATAACTTTCTTTCTTACTTTTTTTTTTAATCCTCACATGAGGATATTTTTTTCCATTGCTTTATAGAGAGAGGAAGGGAGAGAGAGAAACATCGATGTGAGAGAGACACATCGATTGGTTGCCCCCCACACGTACCCCAACTGGGGCCAAGGATCCAGCCTGCAACTGAGGTATGTGCCCTTGGCTGGAATCGAACCCAGGACACTTCAGTGCATGGGCCAACACTCTAAACACTGAGCCAAACCAGCCAGAGCTATGTTTGCTTTTCTAGTACACTTATTAAAAGTTTGCTGTTTTGAAGTCCGTAATTATTACTCTCAATATTAGGCATCCTTTTCATGCCAATATATACAATAAATACATTTAATGACTATATAAGTATGTTAATAACGATGGATGGCATAATTTATTACATTACTCCACTATTAATGAACATTTACACTGTGTCTAATCCTGTGCTATTGTTTGCCTTAGCGTTGATGAACACTTTTGTATCTTCAATTAAAAATTTTTTTTTATGTTGTCTCTTCAAAAAATATATCGTTATTGTTGAAAGTATTAGAGCTGTCCTCTTTTTTCCCCCATCAACCCCTTCTTCGCCACATCCCCCCGACCTCACCCCTGACCCAGGCCTTCACCACACTATTGTCTGTGTCCATGGGTTATGCATATAAGTTCTTTGGTTAATCTCTACCCACCCACCCTAAATTATTTTTAATTTTTATTTTAATCCTCACCGAGGATATGGTTAGAGAGAGGATGGGAGAGAAAGAGAAACATCTATGTGAGAGGGAAACATCAATCAGTTGCTTCCCATACTCGCCCTGACTGGGGACAAAACCCGCAACCTTTTGGTGTACAAGACGATGCTCCAACCAACTGAGCCTCACTGGCCAGAGGCCTTTGTACCTTTAGATAAGTTCTACTTCTTAAAAGTGGCATCCAGGGTTACAGGACATATAAAATGTTGTACATTTTAAAACATATTTCCAAATTATCCCCCAGATTAGTTTGCTATTTAGAATCCTACCAAAAACTGACAAGTACTGTTTCCTCACAATCTCCATTATTGTGTGTTTATCAAGGACATACAGGTCAATAGTCCAGTAACACTGCTTTTTATAATCCCAAAAATGAAGCGTTGATGCTAAATAGGAAGTTTATTTTAAATTAAGAAAGCCAATTAAAGTTTGTGCTTAAAAAATCCTGAACAAACTTTATTAGTGAATTAAAGGAATGTTTAAATAACATTTAAAGAAGTGTGAAGTAAACAACATATATAGGGTAAAACTTCTCCACATATATTTTGACTAATGGGTAGATTTTGATGACATATTTAACAGCGAGAAAAAAAAACACCTTAGGGGAAATACTGACTGGTCATAATAAGCGTTTTTCTGAGTCTGAGCAGAGATTGCCAGACTAGTTAGAAGAGTAAGCCCCTTTAGAACCCTGGGCCGGGACCATTCTATACATGGCCCTCTGACCTAAAATGTACGAATTCCAATTGAGAGTGACATTGCTATTAGTGAGCTGTATGCACAATAGTGCCTTAGACACAAACCTAAACAAGGTCTTCCATCACTTGGTACAAGTGCCAGGTGGCAATGAGGAACTGAACACAAAAGAGAGGTGCTCCACTAGTTTTCAAACAGATAAGGGAAATAGCCAATTTTGGTTAAATAATGGCCTATCCTAAAGGACACAGAAAAATACCTCATTATTTTCTTTATTGAGCAAGTATCAGGTGTTGGAATCAGAATTAGCAAAACATATTTTGTTGATGGACAGCCATTGAATCAGAACATGGGCTCCATGTTTATGGGCTCACAGGAATCCCTGGCACTGACCAATTTCTAAAGCAAGGATGCATGTCAGACAATCTTGCTGCTCCAGTCTCTTTTCAATTTCCAAATACCTCATTTTATTTCAGACACAACTTTAGAACTGCTCAGCACTACTCCCTAGTTCTATAGTCTGATATTCAAAAACCTCAGCAGGCACATTATAATTTTAAAATCAAACAAACCAATCAAAAGAACAAAAGTATACTCGTTTTATTATTTTCTCATCTTATTATTTCTAAGCTTGACTCTACCAAGCACACAACACTCAGTGTTTTCCCTGCTGGATTAGGTATCTCATAGGATCTAACTGGAGAACGTGAACACCATCAAGTTTCCCCCCCAGGTAAAAAGTATGAGAAAAAAATGAATAGGTCATCAATAAAAACATTCTTCTAAGAAAAGAGTAAGCTCTATGCTAGGAAAATCCTTCTCTTGCTAATATTATTAGAAATGCACATTACAAAGTCATCTTTAAAAAAACCCCAACGATAAAAGAGAAAACAATGGTTAAGGGAGCAGCTCCTTACCAGCAGGTCTTCATCCATGTTCCCGGCGCCGCCTTCCCGCAGAACGATGTTGGAGAGGCAGTGCACACAGGCGGAGAGGACGTCCCCGCACACCTGCGTCAGCAGCTCCTGAGACGAGGCAGAGGTCAGCTCTGCAGGAGTCTATACATCTCTATCAGACTATTCAGGAAACACAATTTTCTCAAGAAACTTGGTGATCTTCCAATGTATAAGCCATAAGCCATGAAAAGCCCAGCCACCATGCTCTTGTATCTCTGCTCTGTTAGCAATCTGGCAGCTGGCGAAGTGACACTGACAAAGAATTATACTGGGTGGGGCCAGTGGAGGTCTATAGTTGTTCGTATAGAAAACAATAAATAATTAATAAATAGCAATAGAAGAATAAACTCTTTTGCATACTCGCAACTGTAAACCTACTTTTGCGCCACTCTGTATATATATATGTTATATTCAAATCATACATATATATTATATATAATTTTTCTTTCAACATTTGCCCTATAAGAGCAAAGGGCATATGTTTAGAAAGATTCAGTGTCCTAATGTATAAGAGATCTATAACAGCAGTGCTCCTCCAATAATAAAAATACTGAAACTCTTCTGGCGCATGTAGATGGTGAATGAACCACCATCATAAATAGGCATAACAAAAACGAGCAGTTGTTACTCTTCTGAAATTTTTTCATCAGAGACATTTTTCAGTGTCTCTCATTAGTTAAAATAATTTCAAAGGGATACCACCTCTGGCCCACATCTAACTACACTCGCTAGAGAGGGAGCAGGATCACATTCTACACTGACTTCAACTTCTCTAGGAGGCCATTCCAAAATACCCAGGCTGAGCTAAGTGGCTCCACCCCAGTACTTCCATGTTACCCGATGCACACTCTGATTTTAGGAATTTTATATCACACTGAAATTAACTGTTCATTTATACATCTCCCTACTATGCTGTAGAAGCCTTG